ATCCCGGGCAAATTGAATTGGATGGGTGATATTGGTCCCTCCATTCCGACTTTCTGTGGCGTCCTTCCACGACCGGCCAGTCGCGACGCGGTATATGATCATTTGTGGTGATAAGAACTGGTGTAACCGGTTTCTATCAGCACAGGAGACCACGGGGCGCGCGAGATCGTAGGTTACTTACACAGAAGGTGTAGTACAGCCGCCCTAAGATTTCAAATAGCACGAAGTTCCTCCCTTTCGAAAGGGATCCCTTGGGCCGATACCAAGCACTAAGCACTGTCATGGCAATGAAACATATCCCGAAAGCTGAAAGGGGCACTGCTGCCTCTACGAGGGCTCCTGCAACATCCAAGTACATGCGAGGGGTCCTGCGGTTAGGAAATGCCTTCGAAGTGGCCGCCCAAGTGATTCTCAGCCGCAGCAGGATCAAAAGAGTGACCATTACGTTCGTGGAAACGCTCAGGGATAATGCAGCCACGGTTAATTCGGAAATGGGGAGACCGTTAATGAAGGACATGATGAAGGACACTACCCAGGATTGAGTCAATAAGGTTTGCAATTGTTTCTGGACGTACCAAGCGCCCCAATGCAAGTTATGCAGGGAAGAAGGACAACCCATTTCTTGTGATTCCATAGGATGAAGCAGCGCCATATCTGATGAGGTGTCAACTTTAAGTTGTTCATCGTCAAGCAAGCACAAGCAACCTACCAGAAGCGCGTCCCCCACAGCAACGCTAACACCAATCATAGCATCGCCAGCAATTATGAGCGCGCCGCTCTTCTTTGCATCCTTGAGAAAGGCATCGATGTATGAACGTGGCTCGGGCCCTTCGGTAAACAGGAAAAAAAACGTCCTCGACACTATAAGCGCTAATTCGGCCGTAAACGCCACGAGGATCACACAGCTAATCACAATGTAGCGAACGTGACCTTGGCGAGCCTCCTTTGTCCCCCTGAGGAATGCTGATAGACTGGAGAGAGCCATGAAGAATTGGATACCTACTTGTCGAAGGCAAGTAGTAAGTAGGTGGTATTAGCTCCAGACTGGAATTTCTCATTCTTACCATACAGAGCGCTGCCGAGAATCACGCCTCCAAATTGCGCTGCTGCGAGCATGGTCCCAATAGCGTCGAGGTCAGCGATAGAAGCCTTGTCTTCTGTCATTTCAGAGTGAGTTTTCAGAAGAGGGCTTGCGATGGGTTTTGTAGAGTCGAAGGACAACGATGAGTAGGACGGTTTGCTGAACTTTGCAGAGGTTTTATATAGGACGGCTTGGCTGCTACCGGTACTCAATGTGTCTCAGAAACTTTGATTCTGTGATCGTTTTACACCTCAAGCGGGTGATCTGATAAAGGTCGAGCGCCTGTGGCCAATGTTTCTTACAGGACAAGGTGGGGGGGGGGGGGGGGGGGGGGGGGGGGGGGGGGGGGGGAGGTAGAGAGCATTCATTTTGGATGCGATACCCCATAAAACACGCTTTTAGACCATACTCGAACCACCCAGTTTCTCGACAGTGCTCTTGGGTGAGTGGAACCAAGCTGGTCTTCTCCATGTTTCCGTAAAGCGAGTGGGTGGCGACCTCCGCCCTCCGGTGTGAGCGCTATGAATATGCTCCTGTCAGACGCAAATTGGTGGTGGCCACGGCCCCATAGCCGGTCATTGAGTCAAAGGCACCGTAGAGGGAATCTAGAGTTGATCAGGCGTCATTAAAGATTGAAACAGGGCGTACAGGGATCGGAAATCGCTGGTGATTGGGAGGGGCACCTGGGCTATGTATTCTATCCATCGTTCGTCAAACAGTTTCAGAGGCACGACCTGAGACGTGTTTGGCGTCGTAAGCTATTTGACTTTCTCACCATAGAGAGCACTAACGACAACCGAGAGAAGCTACAAGCATGGTACTGGGGGTGTCCTTCTCAGCGCAAGAGGGTTCAATTGGGCCATGTTCAGAGACCACGAGAGGATCACTTGTGATCAGCACTGAACGGGACGAAGTGTAAGGCAGGATGGAACTTGGCCGCAGATTTTTCGAGAGTGAGATGTTTTTGCTTCCATAATTGACATGCCTCTGAAGAGTGTACCATGAGGTCTAGCGCGTGTAGCTTTTGGACGAAAGACCCAATTTTAGTGGTGCCCACGTTATCATCCGCAACTCTCCACTGCCCTGTGGAGGGAGATCGACTTCGGAATGCCTAATTTGTATACTGAGAGCAGAATCAGATGCACTATCATCTTTTTCATAGCCTCGTATACAGTGGTTCAGGAAGATCAGGAGCTAGCCAAGTTCCATCTTGATTTTGATGATGAGAGCGGTGAATGCACCAATCCAGAAGCGAGGAGCCGAGGGGGTCGATGGTCTCATTTCAACATGTATGCAGTTTGTGGTGGTTTATCTGTAACGTATGATACTCTGGAGATATCAACCAAAGGAAGGGAGAAAAAGACCACAGCGACCCACCTTGGTTTCTTTGAAGGAAATCATCGACATATCCGTTCACGTACTCCTCCGTTTCTCTAATGCGATATAGATAAGTACATGTAAGCACGGCGGAGCCCTTGATGAAACCAGTGTCAGAAAACTCACCCGATAAATGGATTCACTGAGAAGAGCTTCGCGTAGATACTAGGTATATGGACTATATCCATCGACAACTCCTGTCTATCCAGATGGATCTTCTCCACGAGGCGATGAAGCCCCTCATCGAAGCCTCTCCAGGGTGCTTATTCGAGTTCTTCAGTGTCGCCTTCATAAATAGAAAAGCCAATGGCAGAAGCCGCTTCGCGAGTGTTCAAGAACTCGTCGTCACCGCGGAAAACCATATCAGTCTGAATCAAGCCTTTGACGACGATCTCCGACTAGCTGACCTCTTCCCTGCGGCAGAGAGACCATCGAATTCACGTCGATATGGAGTTTGTGGAGAGATGCGTGATAGCTGATCGTCGAAGTTACCATGTGCAAATCAGTCAAGAACATTATCAAAACTTCACACGAGTTGATTATTCTGGTCCATAATGCTCTACTTAGCCGAGTGGTATAGTACATCGATAGAATCAAGGGTGAATCTTGTCAAATCAGTTAATCTCGGGCCAGAATTCGTTTGTAAGTATTGATATCTGTAAATAGATGAATGGTAGGGTAAAAGGGGAAGGAGAATGGATGGATTCCTACTCCGCAGAGGGAAGTTTCCGCATGCTCTCCTTCCCTAGCCATGGCCGGGAGGTGGCAGTTGTCTGCACACCAACCGCTATATTGACCAGGCTTCAACGGAAAGTGTAGGTGAAGGATAAAGTTGAAGAATGGGACGAAGGAAGAAAAGGGCTATGTTCGATGAGAGAAGGAAAAAAGAAAAAAGAACCCGATGATGGGTCAGCGGCAGAGAGAACCACTTCGTCCGTTCGCAGACAGCGTTCAAGCCATTCGACCAGGTTAGGTGTACGGGAGCCAAAGGCGCGAAGGTCAGTCGTGATGGGATGGTGTGTTGAGCGGGACATGAGACATGGTTGGAGGCTGGAGGTTGTTGGTAAGGCTGCCGGCGATACGGTTCCGCTGAACCGACGAGTTGAAATCAGATTATGGTGCAGAGTGAGTAACGAAGGTGGCTCACCGAACGTGGACTATGCCCGTCCGCCTTCAATAGGACGATGAAGAGGGAAGAGGTGTGGCGGTGGCATGTCGTCGTCGCTGTCGTCGAACTCGGTTAGAGAATACCCAAGAACGACCGTCAGTAATGGGCTCACAAGGCATGATACATTGCATCTTCTTGAGTTCATGGCGTAAAGTGTCCGCCGCGGCGCATCTCTACAGGACGAAAATACATGATGAGCCTTAGGGCGCTTCAACAACAGCCAGCAATACTCACAAGAATTTGTGTTGAAGGTGAGAGCCCTGCTTTGCATTGCGTGCATTAGGAGCCCAAGGAAACTTGCTTATGAGAAGGCCCGTGTTGCCGAAGAGAAGGTTGCTGACAAGAAGCAAGCCACACAAGGTTAGGGCGAGACAACGCAATGAGCAAGATGTAGGACACTCACAAGTGATGGCGTGTAAGCGAGTCAAAAGAGACCCATGCTACATCGAAGGCGGAGGCAGATCGCTATTTACCAAGACAGCAGATGAACGTGAGGTTGATAGGTGAATCGGCAAAGCGAGAGGGAAGATACGCACTAGTGATGAGTGGGTGAGCTATCAACGAAGATGCTGGGGCACGGAAGAAAACGTGCTGAACGTCGTTCATAGCAGTGGAGTAGCACTGTGTAGAGGTCGCGTCAGTTCTCGCTACGAGGGAGGTTGATGAAGGTCTTACTTACCGGATACCGCAGAGAACCAACGTTAGACACGAGTGAAGTTGATCTCAGAATGAAGAGATGGCCGGAAGTGCTGAACGTCCAGCTTTGGAAGGGGAGGGGATTTTATAGGCGCAGGAAAGGAGGCGACCCTTGAGTCGGACTGAAACCAGTGGCTGACACAGACACCCAATCTAGACCAGGCTCGATGGCCACAAAGCAGGGGCCTGACGATCGCCCTCATCAGCCAGCAGGATGCATGCTGCAGTGAACACTAAAGAGAAAGATCAAGATCACCTGAGAGGCGACTCAGCCGCTTCGTCTTACAATGCGAACAGATTTGACGTACATGGTTTTTTGAGAACACTCCTTTTTGCAGCGCGACACTTTTCTCTGTATTTGGGGACCCCAGCCACCCGCTTTCACGAAAGATCCTGAATGTCTCCCAGCCGCCGAGTCGCGAATACTGACTGAAATACGGTGCTCATCCACGTCATCCCGACCAGGCTCAGATGTTGCCTCTCATCTGTTTTTCAACCGATTGTCCCTTGAAACTGCAAGAGGTACTCGTTGTCACGCCAGGAGTTCAGCGCAAAGGACACTCCTGGTGTCAGTGAGGAGCACTGAACAGACGCCAGAGATGTGATGGTGGCAGTGGGGAGGGAGGGATATAAAGGCTGAGGTGCGGACATAGTCATGACCCAACAACGCCAATGCATGGTGAGATGGCCCGAGCGGTCTAAGGCGCCAGACTAAGGATCAAGGCGCTAGGCGTCTATTCAATTTCTCATCTTCCCTATTCGTAGGGATGAAGTAGATTATCTGGTCCGAAAGGGCGTGGGTTCGAATCCCACTCTCATCACACTTTTTGCATTTTGTATGTTCTTCTACCTAAAATATTCTACCTTTCGCTTGGTTTCCTATGCTGGAGGGTGAGGGAGTTAATAGGCCGGTAGTTTGTGGGTATGCTTTACCATTGCTCGAAGCAAGGAAATGTCCTCTAGATTCGTTATCACTGCCGGTCTCTTGCCGAGGTTTGGCATGTTAGTGTATGAGCTTAAAGAGATCCTCTGCGCACTAAGCTTTTGGGCTTTCAGTCCAGGCCAGCGGCAGGCAGTGCACTTGCACTTCATTTTGCGCACCAAAGTGGGCGCTAAAATTCGATCAGTATTTGCAGTTGCTTGACACCCAAGCCATCAGCGTGCCAGCAGCCCAGTATTCCGATCAATTTCGAGGTTTACAACACCAGCCAGCGTCAATTGGGACCTCGAAATGCTGGGGGCAAGTTTAAGACAGAGTGAGTCCTTGCGTCTATCCCATATGTCAAAAACATAACCAGAAACCCTCCAGCATTCCAGGCCGTCGCGTCATCGTCGACACGGGTACCTACACACGTCCCCCGTCACACAGGCAGCAAAGCAAGCTTCCAGTGTCGTCCGCAAACAAAACATCCTCCAGCAGGCCAAACGCGCAAAGGAAGCCCTCTCAGACCGACCATCTGTCGTACTGGGCACCCGGCCCTCGGAAGAAGCCTCCAAATGGCCCACATGCAAATTGGCCAAGGTGTTGGTGGACGAAGAGGCACTGGCGCGTGGTGAACATATCCAGCCTGTGCAACTGCCCATCCATTCCGAACCTCTAGCAATGCCTACGCAGCTCGCGTTTGGTGTGGGAGCCGCCGAGAAGGACTTGCTGTTCAACAAACTGCCGGAAGTCAGCGCGGAAGTGAACGTGTCATCGGCAGAGTCCATTGGATCTGCGACGAAGAAGGGAGGTGTGGTGGAGCATACCAGGAGAGCAGAGCTGGCTTCGCAAATCGAGGCTATGAAAGCGTTCAACTTTTCCAGAGTTATCGACTTGAGGAATACGAACGCGGGGGGGTATCGCGTTTGAGAATAGGCGGAGGATTGTGCTCGCGTTCTCGACGCCGGAAAACCCTTATGACACCGGACGCGCTGAAGTGCAAGGTACGTTTCCTTATATTCCGTCTGGTTTCCCCTGCTTATACAACTCGGATAGCTGCCCTCAAAACCTATGAGATTCGCAAACTCTGGAAGCATCTCACCACCTTTAAACGAGACGTCGGGAACCGTCTCGGACTGCGCAAACTCGTTCACCAACGTGCAAAGATCCTTCGATACCTGCGAAACAAGAATCGCAACCGCTACGAAACCTTGTTGGAGCAGCTGGCGTTGGAGCCAGAGGCGGTTGAGGGAGAGTTGGTTGTTTAATTTTGCACCCCGTACGCACTTGGCTTTGCCTTGCCTTTTGTGACACCCTTGCTGGGATATAGATTTGGATACACTTCTCATAATATACTAATTCTCAGTCTATTTCTTAGTGACGGGCATTGCAGTTGGTCCAGAGCTTCTCTAGCCGTCGTGAATACGAGCACGATCATTGCCCGTCCCAGGACCCCCGAATGTCCTTGTCGAGCTGAGGACGCTTGGGAGATGAAACGTCCGCCTCAGCTGGACGGACGGATGAACGATTGGGCTACGCAAGTGCAGAGTGCACTTACACAGGGAAGGTAGTCCAATCGCATTTAAGCGCCCGTCGCGACCTCCCAACGATCATGGCTATGGTTGTTCACTAAACACCGTGATTTTCAGGAGAGAGACAATCCCTGCCCTTACCACCAATGGAAGAGTCCCAAAACGATCGGCTGCCACAAAGAATGCCACTACCACCATAAAATTGAGTACATCCGGGTAAACGGTAAGTCGGACACCTCTGGTCAGTCTTGGCGGCATTTTTAAGCGCCCAACATGACTATAGCCCCTAGTCCCGTGATCCTTGCAAGCCTTTTATAGGTGCCCCATATGCAGGTCGCAACATGGGATCAATGACTCGGGAGGCAAACTTTGGGTAACAAAGCGAGCTCGTCTGCGCAGTACATTCTTTTACCTTGCTTGCAACCACCTCGAACCTACCTTTACCCTTCACCGCATGGGCTCGCCTCAAGGGGCCGCGGCTGATTGGGATGCTCATAGCCATCCAGGGTGTCCTTCACCGCCACTACGTGAGTGACCTAGACACCAACAGTCAGACCTTGAGCTCTGAACAGCATGGGACACAGGACAGGCAACATGGAATGCGATTTTTTCTGGCGTCGAAACTGTGACCGTCAACAACAGCCAGTTCAGTCAAACGATTATCAACCACTACGAGCGTCATATGCATTTCCATTACCATTACCACTACCATTACCACTACCACTGCGATCGCCATGGCACCCACAACGAGGTAGCAATCCTTGAGCGTCTGGTAAGCCCCCATCCTCGGATCTACCTGCAAAACTGCTTTTCTACTAACCTAGGTGATCGCAACTCTAGATAGTAGCATCCACAGCCGTTGTCATGCGCCTTTTTAATAACCCGCAAAGCAGAGAGCTGTTAAGATACTGTGGCGTCATTCCATAGCACTATCAATGACGTCAGCCCATCCCATTACGCTTCATCACTGCGTAAGCATTGGTTTACCATCTCTCTGCGCTGGGACGAGGCCGACCTCACTATCCTTAGAGGAGACTAATAACTAGTCTCTTGCCTCGGCTATTTAGAAAGGGCTTTCGTTCGCGTCGAGTTGAGCTCGGAAATAACATACCAATCCACAAATATTAGAGCTTGGATTTGACGAGATGTGGGAGAGATGGACGTTTAATGTTATACCACGTATAAGTACACTTGGCTTTGCCTTGCCTTTTGTAACACCCTTTCTGGGATATAGCTTTGGATACGCTTTTCATGATAATACACTCATTCTCTGTCTGTCTTTCAGTGCCAGGCCTTTTAGTTTTGCCCAGAGCTTTGGCAGTTAAAGCTGGGAAAACGATGCATTCGTCGAGCAGCACTGTTGGCTCAGGCCTCAGCCAACAGATCGAAAGCCGCGGAGTGAGGGCATTCGCCACTGAATATTCAATCACGATCGGCTGATGGCGCCTCTTCAAGTTGAGAACAGCATTAGTAATGGCATTAGTACCTCTACCTACACTAGCCCACCGATGTCTTGTTTCTCAGCCCGTAGCTCTCTTCATTAGGAACAGCTTGTACACTATTTCTATTCAAAGCCACCGTCTTTGCATCCACTGGTCGTTACAAGATTTGCCCAGCGCTCGACGTTCAGGAGAGAACACTCCGTCGCAGGGTGGACCATGCAACCCATCGTAAACACTCAGAGAACGAGGATGACTGCAGGTGCGGGTGGAGAATCAATTTGGATTGTATTGAACTAATATCACATTGGATTGAGATTGAGGTAAAAGAAAACAAAAGTTGAAAGCCAGGTCACAAATAAAATGTATGAGGTCCAAAAGGTATGCATGTCTTGTCATAAGGGCTCCATCCTGGGGGGTATGAACTATACCAATGGTCGGCCTCAGTCTAGGTAGGCCGACATGCTCGACACGGAGGGCATCAAGGTTAAGAGGAGAAATGCTACCAAATGGTAAAAGAAAGAAAGCGATAACACTGCGATGCGAAAAAACAGATGCCAAAGAGATGCGATGCGTACAAAAGATGGGCCTAGCAAAGTCTCCAATGAAAGTGATGGCACCGACGAGGGAGGGAGGGGGATATCCGGGCGGGCAATTAGTAAAAAGGAAAACGGGTGCCAAATAACTAACTAGTGTACAGTGACCAAACGAAGGACCAAAGCCCCCGCCAGCCATCAACGACGCTCCTGCTTGACAAAGGACTCATGATCACCCTCCAGGAAGGCTGCCTCGCTATCAGCGCAGTGGGCCTCCTCCGCTTCACGGTCGAGCTTGATCAGTGCCTTGAGACGAGGAAGCTCTCTTGCAAGGTCGACCTGGGTATCTTCTTCCCATCGAGCGAGTGCCCATTTTCGCATGAAGACGCTTGCCTAAAGGTATCGGGTGAGTGGCTGTCAAATAACACGAGATAGGGAGTAACGTACCTTGGTGTACCTCTTGCCAGCATACTTCTTGAAGAACGCCTCATGCCTGGTGGGCTTGAGAATATAGTTCAGCATTAGGTTGGCGGTGGGGAGCAACTGCGACTCTCGGTAGCTCGAGTAGTGAGCAAGGTTAGGAGTCTTCAGCTTCATTAGCACAAGCACGTCGGAGGGTTGAGTGAACAAGACCCACCCAGTCCTCGTAGCCCATGGCGAGCCTCGCAAGCCAGATGGAGGCAGCAGCCATCAACGATGGGGGAGCCGCGATGAGACGCCACTCGAGGCATCCAATTTCGATGAGGTACTTTCCAAGAGTCCTCACGGCGACGTTGTAGTCGTCAGCCTTGCTCACCCTGCGCAGGAAATGTACTGGGTTGGGATAGCTCAGGTTCCAGTCGAGGGTCTTGAGGACGTATCGCTCAGCCTGGAGGATCTCTGCCTCGGTGTAGGACGAGTCCGCGACAGACAAAAAGTGGCTCACGCCTGGCGAGACAATCTCCTCAAACTTGGAGGCGATAAAGAGGCAGGTGATTCCGACAAGCTGGAGCTTGGCAAGGGAGACGACGCGTGAGGAGAGGAAGCGGTCGATGATGTTTACGCAAAGGAAGAGGGTCTCGGGGAGGAGGCGGAAACGGACGTGGACTTGAACTAGCCAGTCGGTAAGGATGCCACGCATCTTCCAGGCGAGCTCTTTTTGACTTTCCATGTAGTTGGGGTTGGGCATTGTTGCGAGCTGGAGAACGGGTAAGCTTGGAGAAGAAAACACGGCGAGAAGGTAAGCTTACCTCGAGCTCCTTCATGTAAGTAAAGATCTCGCCGACATATTCGCTGACCATGAGAGGGTCGTCGCCGTCATCTGCGTCGAGGTCATCCCAAGCCGAGTCTTCGGGATCAGCCTCGGGCTCGTTGGCGAACGCCTCCATCTCAGCCTCGAGACGCGCCCTGAGT